AGTTAGTGGAGAGAAGCAATATAGCCGACAAGCGGAAGACCCAGCATCGACAACAGAAATTGCTGTGAGTGAAGGAAATGCGAGATATATACAAAATATTAAAAAAACTAATTCCGAAAGGGTAGGCACACGCCATTTTTAAAGGCATGATCTATAATTTACAAAATTGTCTCACATATAAGATGCTTTCCAATTAGGATTGGTAAATACATGAAATCAATAAAGATAAAATGCAGCTGATTCGTGCAGATATCTCAGAGAGTTGATAAATAGGTTTGTGCTTTAGTATTGAACTATGAGTACAGATTTTATGATGTCTCAAAAATGATATTGCGTCCAACATGCAACCGTGGGAAACGCATATCTGAACCAAATAAATAACAATTTCCACATAAATAACAGTGGATTACGCATACATCTATAAACACTATTTTGTTTAGTGATAACTGATATTATTTATGATGTGATTGTCAGCTGAGTCAATTGGTATCACGATGATAAATACTAACAATGAAATATGATTTACTCTGCATCGTATGTTAATCATGCTTGTAAATGTTGGCCATATGACTATAAATTAAAATTGAATAACCTGTCTGTCGTACATCGAATTTATTTCAGTTAAAGTATTCGCTAAGAGTATCGTTTTTGTTTCTAAGGTAGTTTATCGTCCGTACTTTTGAGTAGTCTGTTTCTTTTGTATGTTTTACCACTTTTAGCTGTAAAAACTTAAAATTTTTCCACTTTCTTGGTCATCGATTTCTTTTGTCTCCGTGTATTTTTGTATATGGTTTCTTTTTGAAAACCTCTGTTTGATGGTTGGTTAGTACAAGAAAAGCGATTACCGACGCCCAGGCTGTCGACATCTTGTTGAAAGCGGCATGCAGTGCGACGAGTGCAAAGGATGGTACTACGAAGGTTGCACGAATCTAACGCCTGAAGCTTTCAAACGGTCCAGTAAAATGGATTCGTATGGTCTTGTCACCAGTGCCGCTCGGATGCAAACAGCTTGCCGACCGAGTTCATTTCAATGGTGAATGCTACTAAAATGTGTAATGTCAAACGAGGTCGAGATACATTGGACAGCACTCACTCTGTCGATACACAAATTGATGTAAAGTCGCCTCAAGCTTAAAAATAGTTGACTTAAATGAATCAAAAGAGGAAAGACCGACTTCATAGAAGTTTACTCTGTCTCCCGTCCTCTAAATGGTAGCCGACGGGAAATGCCTAAGAAACGCAGTTGCAAGGCCAAATCTGTCTCAAGCAGGAAAAACAACGTGACTGCTCAAGTCGTCGATTATCTTCCAGAATCCCACAGTATGTTTCATGCGACTGTAGTTGCCGCTCCAACGAAATTTGATGAATGGGTATAGGTCGAGAACAAGAAACGACATAACGCTATTAAAGAAAAGTCAACTCCACCCCCCCCCCCGAAAAAGGTAGCCGAAAAATTAAACCTGATCATAGTGACAAGTCAGTTATCTTATTAGAATGAAGAAGAGTAAAAGCTCAGAACCTAAAATTCGTTTTGAGCAAGAAATTGGGTTGATAAAACAGCTACTAAATTAGCTAATTCCTCAGGTTATCTCCAGAGTCACATTGCTAAGGGTGTATAGACCAGGTAGCCAAAGGAAGTTGAAACCAAATCAGACCATGCTGCTTTAAGTAGTATTTAATTCTCCCAGTAAACGGGACTTAATAGTGCAGATTTGCCACAAACTAAAGGGGTCAGTAGTTTTTGTCCATAAGGAATTGCCGGTCGCAGATTGTGTAAAAAGACGGGAATCCAAAAAGAACTAAAACTTACGTCAGATACTGGCGAAAAGGACCTAAAAATCGTAAGTTTTCGGGTTGTGAGACTTCGACAGAGAATGTCTCCGAAACCACTATAGGTGCACCACGAAACCATTAAAATAGGCTTCGGATCTGTTACACGAATCCCAAAAGCTTGCTTAATAAGTGATCAGAACTAGGTGTATAGATCGACTATACCAAGCCAAATATAACCTAAGTCACAGAAACTTGACTGACGCAGTCTGTGGATAGTATGAAACTTGCTTTTGAAGGTTTCACGTTAGTAAAAGCCGACAGGATCCAGAAACGTGAAAGACAAGTAGCTCTATTCATTAAGAATGATATCCCATTTACCATTATCGACAAGATTTAAGAAAGGAAGACAGAAATTAAAAAAAGCCGAACAAGAGCAGAAGATGTCAAGGCACAAAATGAATACATAGGAGCAAACAAGCAATATAGCTGATAAGCAGAAATATATAGAGGAGCTAGCAATGACAGCAGAAAAAGCTACAAGAAAAGAAAGTATGAGACAGCTAGATTATGACAATTGATTGATCACTGGGTGGTGATCAATCTCATGCATGTCAGGTCCTTCTTAGTGCTGATCGAATGCTATCGATCGAGTTGCAATGTGGCCACCAGTCTAGGTGGCTCGACACTGCTTGCACTGTATATACTGAGGTAAGATGATGGTTGGAGGTGGTCAACAGGAAACCCTGGACCCGGGTTTCGTGCTACTTGGCACTCGTCAGCAAGGTGTACCTGTAATCGTGACGGAACTGATGCTCCCTGACGGATTCGATCCCGCGTCACTCAGCTTCACAGTCAGAGACGTTACCACCATCTTACCTCAGTATATACAGTGCAAGCAGTGTCGAGCCACCTAGACTGGTGGCCACATTGCAACTCGATCGATAGCATTCGATCAGCACTAAGAAGGACCTGATATGCATGAGATTGATCACCACCCAGTGATCAATCAATTGTCATTACATCTCAGTCCTACAGAAGGTTGGTCGCGACCCGAATAGCTCAGTGGTAACGTCTCTGACTGTGAAGCTGAGTGACGCGGGATCGAATCCATCAGGGAGCATCAGTTCCGTCAGGATTACAGGTACACCTTGCTGACGAGTGCCAAGTAGCACGAAACCTGGGTCCAGGGTTTCCTGTTGACCACCTCCAACCACCATCTTACAGCTAGATTATATAACGAAGAAACTGTCAGGGAAATATAGTAAATCAGAGAGACCAGTCAAGGACAAAGAAGGCAAGTCAATCACAGAAACTTAAGGACAGAGGTGCAGATTGTTGAAACACTTCGAAGAACTCTTTAATGGACCAGCCCCATTGAATCCACCGGATATCGTAGCGGCACACACGAACCTCCCTATAGATGTCATTCCACCAGCGACCCAAGAAATCAGGATGGCCATCAGACAAATCAATTGTGGGAAAGCAGTAGGACCTGAAAGTATACTAGTCAAAATGCTAAAGTCACACATAAAAGTAATTGCAAACATGCTCCATGTTCTATTCAAGACCATTTGGGAGGAAGAACAATTACTGACAGACTGGAAAGAATGATATTTCATCAAGATACCAAAGAAAGGAGATCTGAGCAAATGTGAGAATTACAGAGGGATCACACTGCTACCAGTACCAGGAAAGGTTTTCAACAGTATTGCTGAACCGGATGAAAGACTCAGTGGACGTCCAACTTTGAGATCAATAGTTTGGATTCTGCAACGATTGGTTGTGCACAGACCAAATCGTCACACTACGAATCATTGTGGAACAATCAATTGAATGGAATTCGTCACTACACATCAAGTTCATTGCCTATTACAAAGCATTTGAGAGTGTGGATAGGATAACATTATGAAAACTTCTTCGAGACTATTGTGTACCTGAGAAGATCTTCAATATCATACGGAATTCATACGTCAGACTACACTGCAAAGACGTTCATGGAGAACAGCTGATAGATGTATTCCAAGTGGGGACGAGACTCAGACAATGCTGCTTACTCTTTTTTCTGATGATTGACTGAAATATGAATTTTCCGAAATATTTTGGGTCCTTTGTGTCCAAAGAAATTTTTTATCAGGAAACATCAACGTAGGTTGGCATTTTTTTATTCTGATTTTTATTTCCCTTCACAGTACTGCGTCTCTTGTAATATTTTGTAAAGTTTTTGTTATTAGATTCATTTAAATATCAATTTGCTTCTGTATTTGCATTTTGAACCCCAACGAAATATCTTTGCTTAATTTGAATACTACCATATATCTTTTACAATTTTAGTTAACCAAAAACATAAATGTATGTAACCTGATATGAATGTTTAATTTTTAAATCATAACTTAGAAGCGTTTACTTATTAGCATTGGTTTTAATCCACTTTATCCCAAGTTTCTGACTTTAATTCGTTTAACCTAGGAACTATGAATTATTAGTTTACAGTTCTCTTTTTTGCACTGGATAAACTATAAACCATTGACTTCATGAATCAATACCAGGTTTTTACATAGTGGCCTTTATTGAAAACCTACTGTTGTTTTGGCCACTCACAACATACTCTCGGATAAACTTACTTGGTATAATTTTATCAGTCATTTTGCTTTGATTGACTGAATTTATTCGCTCACCTACAGCATTATAACACTTATTCAACTACAATTTATTAATATTTCTAAGATCTCGATGATAAAATCAATATGAAGAGCTACCATGTTGTGTATCTCTTATGTGCTTATTTAACACCCATATGTCAAAACTGTATGGTAAGTTGTTCTGTTGTCTACTCGTTCCGTAATTTACGTATAACTATATTTTTCATGTCATTTTTTCAGTATCATTCAGAGATATTTAACCTAGATTTTCGCATCCGTCCTGAAATATAATCGGTGACCAGTTCATACTGATTGATATAAACACACGGATAACTAAAAAAAAGTATTGACTCCCATGCCCTTCATAAACCTTAAATAGTCATTTTTTGGTAGAAACAAGAAACCCTTACTGGACATATTTGTCTTTTCTTTTTGAACCTATTTCACTACGTGATAATCTTGAGAATTATTTGACTTCATGTTAGTTCAAACAGAAGAAGTCATTAACCGAATTTTCTTCCATCTTCATTTCAAAAGTCATTTCCATGTAACCCTTTTTATTGTTTTTTTCTTTCTTACTAAAAACAGAATGAAAAAAATTCCCTTCTAAAAGAACACAATATTAATTCAGCTGACAGTGATGTAATTGTCACAAATCTCAATATACAAACAAATGCAACTCATGATGAAGTCACTTCTGAGACAATAAACAATGAAAATTTGATTTTTCAATATTCAGTCTATGCAAAAAAGATTCTGGAAGTAATTAAAAGTTCGAAACATCCTTCAGGCTGTAGTATGTGTGAATTAGCAGCATATTTTCGAAATCATGAACAAGTACGTTTTCTATTTGTTATATATATATATATATATACTTATGCACATTGGTTCGAGCTACCATACCTTATTAGTACAGAGATATGAAGCTTTCAGTCCAAATCCCAGATTACTAGAGGTAGTAACAGGAAAGATTAGGCATGGAACATACGACTCAAAAAGAAATTATAAATTAGCGAAATAAAAACAAAAAAAATGTTATGAGGAATTTAGGATTTCAAAATATAGGGGAAGACGGGTAATGGGTGCACCTGCGCCACTGCAAACGATTTTTAGCCATGTCATTCTGAGTCTCTAACTATTAGTTACGATAATCATTCGGACCCCAACCATATAGTCTGTACCTATTAACATGGCTAAGTTCATTTTTCAGTGAATTCATGAACTGATGCCATGTTTTGGTTTGGCCGCTTCTAGCTTTTTTACAGCCTGCTTCTGCACCAGAAAACATGTCCCGTCGAGGTAGGGGGTGGCTAGACATGCGTGACACATGTCCCGACCACTTTAGTTGATGGTTTACTACCTCACCGATCTACTTGCCATCCTTACTTATTGTCCTACTCCTAACCTAGGTATTGCTTACTCCGTGGTACCAAAATACACGAGCGATACTCCGGAAAAACCTATGGTCGAATACCAGTAACCTACGAATATCCTCTATTCTCAATGGCCATGTTTCATATCCATAAAGTAGAACGGCGAGAACTTCTGCTCAGTAAACTCGCCGTTTGGTTGGTAGACGGATATCTTGCCTACTCCACGAGTGACGCAAGTTGGCGAAAGTCAATCGATCCTTCTGAATCGGTGCCGAGATTTCGTCAGATAACAGGCCTTCAGTACTGATGAGATTCCCATGATTATTGGAGCGGGCGATACGTTCTTCTTGTGGGACCTAAAAAAGAAGTTGAATTAGTGGTGGTCTAAGTGTTTTGTCGAGAGCATGAATCGATCAATCTTGGACCACCATTAAAAACACAGGAGTACGGGACTCCTCAACAAGGAACATCGATGACTCCGCACTCCTGAATTGAATCCAGGATCTTCAATCTCTATAGCAAACGCTTAATCTCTAGACCTCTGAGCCCGGGATCTAATGATGTTAATGTCTAACTTCAAGAGGTCCAGTATATTTCCTTTGTACACTACTCCAATTCTGTAATCCGAATGGCTACCACTCCTGCCGTTTGAAAGACTTTGAATCGAACCAACTTTGGCTGAAAATTATTAGCCCGATAATTTATTGAGATTGACTTATACTGGCGCCGTAGTGTCTGCTACTTATGTCGACAGATATAAGTAGTATGTAGCTGCGACCGGAAATGGATTGCCTGGCAGCAGAAGATTGGATCGAAGAGAACAGAAAGGAATCGGGGAGCAATCATAATAACAACAGCATTAGAGTGGCCTGTTTAAACATCTGGGCTATCTGTTCCTGTCATCTAGATATTTCAACAAGTTATCTAATTTTGTTTGTTTCAATACATCATTATGGGTATTAATCGCACAACCTATTCAGGTGCGTTTCTGAAAAGTGTAAAATCTTTCGCTGTAAAGGTTCCATAAGGTCTAATCAGAGATATGGTTGCTGGCAATATGCAGCGTGAAGAATGTACATTATTCAGATGTCGATTGACTGGGCTGTTAACTTCTAACTGACGATCACTCAATACTTATCGTCAGGAAGGACAAAGTAAGAAACGGAAATCTGTTGAAGTACTTTGTGCTGAGAATTCTATATTGTACCAAAAATATAATATTGAATAAAGCTAATAATAATAATAATAATCAGAGGAATAATGTAGTAAGTAAGGGATAACGCAAAGAAGACGTGCAAAAGATGTATTTAATGTATGATTCTCATATTATACTAAGCCACTATGTAATTTTGCACCAAACACTAAATTGGTTTACCTCACCTGAAGTCTCGTTCACTACGGCGTTAAATAGTTTAATAACAAGCTGTACACTGTCTTCCCTATACCTTAGCCACGCTGGGAGGTGTTCATGAACACGAAAATGCAAATTTCTGGAAATTCGACCAATATAGGGTTTCACAAAAGCAAATTACTAAATACAGAAGAAGATAGCCATTTTACGTAATTAATATTTTAGTCTCAGTGTCACTATTGGGCGCGAAGAAAACACTAGTCGTAGTTTTCCGGCGTTAAATGTTATTTGTGTTGGTCTGCGTAATCTCTGAATCATTATTATTATTATTATTATTATTATTATTATTATTATTATTATTTCTCATTGAATTCATTTAAGTTTATATATAATTTAGTCTTCCACTGAACATTTGGTCGAATTTGTAACTGTATTATCATTTCTCTCATCTTATCTGACCCATATTTATGCTGATCATTATTAATCTAACAGTTTCATTCCGCGTATAGACATATTCAAGTTAACTTTTCATATTAGTCTTCTCAACATTAACAATTTGTGTTATTTTACAAACAATCCTAAATTCACATGCTACAATTGCAAACGATGCACTTCGCCTTAAACCTGGAGACTTTTTGGATTGTTAATTTGGATATATTACTGTAGAACCTGAAGAGAATATGTTCGAAAGAATATTCTCCGTCCATATTAAGCTGATCTATCGATATCAGCTATCTCGATTTAGCTCGTTTGTTCACTATACACACTATGTACCAATGGTTGGTGTTATGTGGATGATTTTGGTGGGGTTTTGTCCTCTGAGCTGGATGGTTTGGTTCTGGAGCTTTCGTCGTTCTTCTAAACGACATCATCAGTACAAACTTCAAGTAGAAGTGAAGTATTTGAATTTCTTCACATATGACTTCCAGCTTGTCCTGTAGACCTCGGCCTTAATTGGTTCTTGTTGACCTAAATTCTGTCATTGTTTACTTCTTTATTTTGATTGTATCGCCTATTGATTGGATTCTTAATCCTTCATTTCCTCGTTTTCCTTCAGTTATTTCACTTTTTCTCTATTCTTATAGATTGATCTACAATTACTTCAATCTGAAATTGATAACTTGATTAATATGAAAATTTTACATTATGTTAACAACTCACCACCAAGGTTAGCTATTTTCAGTTTAGTTTTGAATTGTTTCTTTTTTTATAAATCAAAAATTTATAGTTGTTTGATAGATATACAAGTCTATGGAAAGATGGGGAAGATTGCATCATAAAGTGATTCCAGATTTCAAATATGAAATGAGGTCTCGTAATAATCGGAGGTTTCGAGAAGAATAGGAGAGTGAACATAATAACCCCTTGATTATTACGTAACCTCATTTGATATTTGAGATCAGCAATTGTTGATTAGTTATTCCACTGTATAACACCTGTTTTTGAACCATAAATCCTGAGTTCATACTAAAAATCTTCGTTTTTCTCATATCGTTTACCTTTAAGTGACAATCAATGAGTGATATAGTCGTCGGTGCGGATCGAATTCTGTCAGCATACCAGTTTGGTGTTGGTTAGTGTTTAACTCATTTGAATTTCAGTCAATAGTAATAGGTCAAACATGAATTTCGTCTTGCTTGATTCCATATGGGCGGCTAGATAACGTCACGAGGATTCATATAAACAATATAGTTCCATACATGAGCACCTAAACATGTACTTGATAAACGAATTTTCTTTTTTAATTTGTAAACTGAGTTGTTTGCACTCCAAGTCGAGTGATCATCTCTCCAAAATTTTCTGGATACAAAATATTCATACTCTCAGTGATACTTTCACGTTATCTAAACTTAACTCACAGTTTAAATGTGTCTTAATGATAGATATCAATAGTCACAATATGTTTATGCAAGCTTCCCTGTCAATTCTTTGTCTCTAAGTGTTTGTTTCGTATGTATTTTATCTCATTTGCACTGTATCCAGATTGAAAATAACAGATGTTGGATCAGACTTGTCTACTTCAATGTGCTCTAAATCAGAAATATCACGAAACGAAACTGATTGTAAGTTTTACGACTTAATTGTAACTATTTAATACCTTACAATTTAATAATCATTGTTTTCCAGTAATCTTGCCTGTAATCTAGTAAGTGTCATTTCAAATTCAGTCAATCAAACTCAGTGTAGAACCTGCTACATGTGTACATCGGTTCAAGAAGCCATACTCTATTAGAATAGTGAGATAAAATTGCTAGAGAAAATCCTAGAGTACAAAATACAAACATTATTAGTGCTAATAAAAAGTACTAAATATCTGGGATACGATCCGAACAGAAAATATAAATTGATGAAGTAATAAAAGGTATTTGTGAGAAATTTGGGGTTTAAGAAAAAACAGAGTGAATGTACTTGCGCCATTGCAAATGATTGTGAGTTACTTTATTCAAACTCCCTGACTATTGATAACAATAATCATGCGAACCCCAACTAGGTAGTCTGCACGTACCTATATGGCTCAGTCCAAATGACAGTGTTCTCATGGTTTGACATCATGTCTTAGTTTGGCTGCAACTAGGTTTCTTAAAATAACTTCCGTCATACTGTCATTAATATCATTTCATAGTGAAAATCAAAAATTGCCTAAAAATTACTTCAAACATCCGAATGTGTAACCTTTATTTTTAAAATGAAAAATGACCTTTTGGATGCTCAATGTAAAATCCGTTAAGCATTCTCAACTATTTTTGAGACATTATCAAGGATATATTTAGGGTATAAGTATATGATTACTTAGACTGTTTTATTCTGGCACATTTTTGTATATGTTAGATATACTACCAATGAAAGCAGTCATGGTGCATGTTTACTGATTTATTTTCTTGATTATGACTGGATAGATTTATCACAGTATTAAAAAAAGAATTTGTACCAACAACACGCGAATCGAATGAAATTCGGTTGTTATCACCAGTACCTTATATCTCACGAAGTCGCGACATATGAAAAGACAGCATCTAGGCTGTAAGTGCGGAAAATTAGTACATTTTTAAACAGATTAAAATTACGATAAAGAGGTGATGAATTATTTTGAACGCTGATTGACTCAACAGCAGAATAGGTCGTCCAATAAGGTTGTTCTGATAACGATAGCATCAATCAAAATTAAGTGTAGAATACTTCAATAATTCATTTGCTGCGTACAGCTTCAGTTACTTAACTTCAAGCCAAACTTTAATTGAGGTGTTTAGTGATACTACCCGGTTGCCAAAGTGAATTAGATTGAACGTTTTCAAACCCACCATCTAGTGGCTTAAAATTGAATACCTCAACTACTTAACTACCGCTTCGCGATAGCTTAATTCGATCAATTGCTGTTATCCATTTACAAGGTTAAAGCATAATGCTGTCATGAAATACGTCATACGATTGATTTATCATTATACAATCTTGGTTGTGTGACTTCAGAGTGACATATATATATATATATATATATATATATATATATATATATATATATATATATATATATATAGAGAGAGAGAGAGAGAGAGAATCGTTCATTCAATGTATTTTATTAAGATACTTAACTGATGTAGTATCATGCCACGTAAATAACACATTTACTGACCGTATTTTCTCCTAATGTAGATACGACTGGAACATCTTCAGATTTGAAGTGCTCAACGGACTCCTCGATGTCTACTGATCTATATGAAATAAGGTATCCATTTTCCTTTTTTTTATCTAACTATTTTTTGATTCTAATCCAGATTAGTTTAAAAGTTACTTCATGTTTCACAATTGATTTCGTATATTCATCCTCTAGATCAATGATTCGGCTAATGTTATCCTCAGCATTTTCAATAGGGTTGTTTAATAGGTGCGTTGTAACCAGCTCTTTTGGCAATTTTTTCGTCCATTTAACGAATGATTATTACAGAAGACAGTGTTATTGTCACTAAATATATCATTACAAATAGCTCGAGTTATCCGCAACTATCTGTTATGTCTATTGTACGTCAGCTCAATATGCCTGATGAGAAATTATGGCTTGAAGTGAAATCTTCAAAAAAATGACTACTTTACTTCACTCAATCACTAAATGAACGAAAAATTGCCGAAAACAGTTGCTACAACACAGTGAACATTGAAAACGTTTTGTATAATTTCAGCCATAGAAATACCCTAATAAATAGAAACCGAAATATCCTACACATTATAAGCAAAGGTAGGTAGTAGCTAGCAGTGGAATCCAAGAGGTACGTTTCGTCCTGCTTCGGACTCATCAGCCAAATGTACCTGCATCTCAGAGTGGATGTTCACTTCGGTACACGAACCCAAACTGGTCAATTGCAGTCCTAAACATCAATGAAAGATTTAGAAAACCAACACAAATAAGGGAATGTTCTACGTTTTACACTCTTACGTAAACTCATTTCTTTTTAAAAGAAACAACTTTTACAAGTTGACACACATTTAAATAATAATAATAATAATAATAATAATAATAATAATAATAAGAAGAAGAAGAAGAAAAATATTAAATCAATGCTTAAACAAGTTTAAACGTACTGCTATCTGTCCAAAATAATGTATTTTTTGTTATTTCTGATGTATGTGACGCTGTCACTCATCAATTCATTTGGTTTTTTGGATAAATCATCTCCAGTTTTGCCAGATTTTCTGTGTAGTTGAGCATAGTAAAATGTAATATCATATAAAATGGTTTCTTTGTACATCTTTCTTTGTAGTTATAGTAGCTTTCCTAAGTTATTTAGCGCTATAATGAGGTAGATAATAAACAAAGTTAAACTTTCGGAATTTTTTACCCGAAGTTATTGTTTATATGTGTTGTATAATAACTAAATACTAGGATTATAATATCTTTGTATTTCCCTAATTGTAAGCTTTCTGTTGAATATATAAACTATTGTTGTAGGTTTTAGCTTACTCAAGTTACTGTTCATAAATTGCTGACCCATCTATCGCTTATTTCTCTTCCAATTATGCCTTAGTTATGGCTCTATTGTAATTCCTTAATGATTTTTATGTCTTATTAAGATTTTATCCTATATTATTGAAGTTGAGTAATAGATTGGAACTGTATAATTAGAGGTTATGTGCTGCTGTGCTGTGTTCTCTTATGAATCAATAGTCGTCGAACATTGATGTCGGTTGCTGTTTCACTATCATGGTGTTACTGGTATCAGCAGAAGGTCACTAGTATTCTATAATTTAGGCAAACTAATCAATACTCAGACATTATCATACAACTGCTCTTCTACAATTACAGTTCGATCACACAAGCACCAATATAGGGTAACTCAAACATCTGTTTTTCCGGGTAATATCATCTAGATGCTGAGGAGTCCCATAATAGGACGAAACGGCCGTCCAGTGCTTCCAGGTTTTCGATGGTGGTCTAGCTTCAATTGACTCATGATTTCAACTTTGAAATATACTGAAATCTCTACAAATCCCCTTCTGATCATCTAGATATCTTCAACACTGATATAGTTGGGTTTTAAATTTGACACACACAACTATTGCCAGTTTAAGTGTTTCGAATTTGTATATTCTACGTTATCTATTGAATGTTATTTTTGGGTGGCTTAAACATCCTTTTTCAGAATTCAGAACTTCATAAAAAGACTCTTGAATATAATTTTCGCACTAAAATCAATGCAGACATAGTTTTGTGTTTTATTTCTAACTTTTTTGTCCTGTTTGTTCTTTCTCACCATTTAAACTTGCGTTAACTTAAAACAACAATGCATTCCGTTCAATTTTGAAGAAACGATCTACGTAAGATAGTGAAATGTCAACAAATTAATCTTTCTATTTGTTTCTGTTTGTGAACACTGTCTACTCTATTTATCTATTCAAACACAAAAATATTGATCACAAGGGGGCACCAGATATATATGGGCCACACAAGACAATGAGAATGAGAAGAGAAAAGGGATAAGATGCACATATTAAAAAAAATAAGAGTAATCATAGGGGAAACTAAAATGTACAACCAGAAGATATCTTTCAGTTAAGGAAGTTATGACCACTTTTTATGAGGAAAGTAAAATTAGGTTACAGCAGGATCGCCACTGGCTTCTATTCTGAGCCATATCTGATAACGTCTCTAGCCACTGTATTGAACCACCTCTCGCACCTCAACCAGTGAGTCGTGAAGGACCAACAGAAGCCAGCCCTTTTCAGCTTTCTTTCATGCCACGATACCATGTCATACACTGACCACCTTTCCGCTTTTTCCAACCAGTTCCAGGGTCTGTGAACAATGCACGACAAGGAATCCTCTGGGACAACATTCGTAAAACATGTTCAAGCCACCGAAGTCGATGTTTCAAGATGGTGAAACCAATCGAATTATCGTCTCTGCGCGCGAGCACACGATGCCGAACCTCTACATTACTAACATGGTCGTCTAACATCCTCAACTCGGAGAGGCCAGGTTTCACAAGCATAGGGCAAAACTGCTCTCACCGACGCGTTGTAGATCCGACCTTTTACAGCCAGACTAACATCACGAAGGCGCCAAAGATGGCCCAGATTGGCACAGGCTGCTCTGGCTTTCATTATACGTGCATCAATCTCATCACTCACGCCCCCACCAGCACTTATGTAGCTACCTAGATACACGAACTTCTCAACTACTTCAATCTGCTCACCATCCAGGGTGAGTACAGGATGAGAATCCTGCCAGTCTTGTAGGAGTACCTTGCACTTGGAGGGTGCAAAGCACATGTCGTGCCTGCGGACACTGATTGCCAACTGATTAATTGCGGATTGCATGGCTTGGGCATTATCGCACAGTAAGACAATATCATCCACATAATCAAGGTCGACAAGTCGTTCTCCAGGTAGCAGATCCTTACCGCCATTACTTCCATCCATCAGAGCTGTTTTCAGGATGTCGTTGATGGTAAAGTTGAAGCGGAATGGTGAGATTGGGCAACCCTACCTAACTCCACTGCCTGAATGGAACAATGGAGAAAGGTGGTTGTATGCCCTCACTCTGCCTGAGGTGTTCGTATACAGAGCCTTTAAGATGTTAATGAACTTCTCAGGCACACCCTTCTTCAATAGACAATCCCAGAGAACAGTCCTGTCCAAAGAATCGAAGGCAGCCCTGATATCAAGAAACACTGCGATTGTTGGCCTGCGATAAGTATGACGGTGTTCTAACATTTGGCGGATGGTGATGATATGATCAATGAACACTGTCTACTGTTGATGTAAAAATTAAAGTTATCTTTATGCAAAATATTAACTCAATAAAATTGAAATATACTTACTTACTTACTTACGCCTGTTACTCCCAATGGAGCATAGGCCGCCGACCAGCTTTCTCCAACCCACTCTGTCCTGGGCCTTCTTTTCTAGTTCTTTCCAGTTCTTGTTCATTCTTCTCATGTCTGTCTCAATTTCTCGGCGTAATGTGTTCTTTGGTCTTCCTCTTCTCCTTTGACCTTCCGGATTCCATGTGAGGGCTTGTCTTGTGACACAATTGGGTGATTTCCTCAAAGTGTGCCCAATCCACTTCCAGTGCTTCTTCCTGATTTCTTCCTCCGCTGGAATCTGGTTTGTTCTCTCCCACAGTAACTTGTTGCTGATAGTGTCTGGCCATCGGATCCGAAGTATCTTGCGTAGACAACTGTTAATAAACACTTGTATCTTCTGGATAATGGCTTTCGTAGTTCTCCACGTCTCTGCCCCATACAGAAGAACTGTCTTGACATTTGTATTGAAAATTCTAACCTTGGTGTTGGTTGACAATTGTTTTGAGCTCCAGATGTTTTTCAGTTGTAGGTATGCTGCTCTTGCTTTGCCGATCCTCGCCCTCACATCTGCATCTGATCCACCGTGTTCATCAATGATGCTGCCCAGATATGTAAAGATTTCCACATCCTCCAAAGCTTCTCCGTCAAGTGTAATTGGATTGGTGCATGTTGTATTGTATCGGAGAGTCTTGCTTTTCTCTTTGTTTATATTGAGACCTACTGCTGCTGAGGCTGCTGATACACTGGTCGTTTTCTCCTGTTGTTGCGTTTGTGATAGAAGAGCCAGATCATCCGCGAAGTCCAAATCGTCAAGCTGCATCCTGCCTGTCCACTGTATCCCGTGCTTTCCTCCAGATGTTGACGTCTTCATAATCCAGTCGATGACCAGGAGAAAGAGAAAGGGTGAGAGTAAGCAACCTTGCCTAACACCGGTCTTTACTTCAAACGAGTCGGTGAGTTGTCCTCCGTGGACGATTTGGCAGTTTAGTCCATCATAGGAGTTCCGTATGATATTTACTATCTTCTCAGGCATGCCGTAGTGTCGAAGAAGCTTCCATAGTGTCGTCCTGTCCATGCTATCAAATGCCTTCTCGTAGTCGATGAAGTTGATGTAGAGTGATGAATTCCATTCGATTGATTGTTCCACAATGATACGTAGAGTTGCGATTTGATCTGTACACGATCTATCCTTACGAAATCCAGCTTGTTGATCTCGAAGTTGGGCGTCCACGGAATCCTTCATCCTGTTTAACAATACTCGGTAGAAGACTTTTCCTGGTATTGAGAGGAGAGTGATGCCCCTGTAGTTTGCGCACTTGCTAAGGTCGCCTTTCTTTGGTATCTTGATCAGAAGTCCTTTTTTCCAGTCTACTGGTACTTGTTCTTAGTCCCAAATCTTACTGAAGAGGATGTGGAGTATCTTGGCAGTTGCTGCTACATTTGCTTTCAGTGCCTCTGCCGGGATGTTGTCTGGTCCCGCTGCTTTGCCACTCTTGATTTGTCTAATGGCCATGCTGATCTCTTCAATTGTTGGTGGGCCAATATCTATTGGGAGGTCTTTGGGTGCTGCTTCGATGTTGGGTGGGTTCAGTGGAGCTGGTCGATTCAAGATTTCTTTGAAGTGTTCTACCCACCTGTTTCGTTGTTCTTCAATGTCGGTGATTACTTTGCCTTCCTTGTTTTTCACTGGTCTTTCTGGCTTACGGTAATTTCCAGCAAGTTTCTTTGTTGTATCATACAGTTGTCTCATGTTTCCCTCTCTTGCAGCCTTTTCCGCTGTCATCGCTAAATCTTCCACATATTTACGTTTGTCGGTTCTGATGCTCCTCTTCACTTGCTTGTTTGCCTCTGTGTATTCGGCTTGTGCCTTGGCTTTTTCTGCTCTTGTTCGGCTGATATTGATTGCTACCTTCTTGTTCCTCCTTTCTTCAATTTTATTCAGTGTACCAACAGTGATCCATTCCTTGTGATGGTGCTTCTTTTGGCCCAGAACCTCCTGACATGTTGAAACGATTGCCTCCTTGATACCTTTCCAGCTGCTCTCTATGGTGGTTCCCTCTCCATTGAGTAGGTCATGAAAGGCCTGGAACCTGTTGCTGAGGGCTATGTTAAATTCGTTGAGTTTGTCAGCATCTCGAAGAAAGGCCGTGTTAAACTTTTGTGATGTTGTCCGCGCCATTGTCCAGTGCTTCTTGAGTTTTAGTTTCATCTTGGCGACCAGCAAATGGTGATCGGATGCTATATCAGCTCCTCTTCTGGTTCTCACATCCTCCATCGTCCTCCTGAACTTTTTGTTGATGCAGACATGGTCGATTTGATTTTGTGTAGTGTGATCCGGTGAAATCCAAGTGGCTTTGTGTATGTTTTTGTGTGGGAATATGGTGCCACCTATGACCAGTTTATTGAAGGCACATAGGTTTGCAAATCTCACCATTTTCGTTCCTTCCTCCCAGTCCATGTTGTCCCATGACGTCTTCGTATCCAGTGTTGTCCTTTCCAACCTTGGCATTGAAATCTCCCATTAGAATGGTCAGGTCCTTGGTTGGGCACTTCTCGAAGATTGACTGCAGCCTATCGTAGAATTGGTTTTTAGCGTCTTCATCGTAGTCGTTGGTCGGCGCATAGCATTGGATGATGTTCATTGTAATGCCCTCTCTCTTTGTTTTGAAGGAGGCTTTGATGATCCTTGGTCCATGAGATTCCCATCCTATAAGTGCATTTTGTGCTTTTCTGGACAGCATCAGTGCCACTCCTTGTGTATGTGGGGCATTTTCTTCTTCATGACCGGAGTATAACAGAAGTTCCCCTGAAGACAGTCGTTGTTGTCCAACCTGCGTCCAATGTGTTTCACTGATTCCAAGCACTTCCAGGTTGTATTTCCTCATTTCCGCAGCAATTTGGAAGACTCTGCCGGTCTCCCACATTGTCCGGACATTCCATGTACCTATAAAAATTGTCGCTCTGGTTGTAAGGTGCATCGGCCTCATGACTTCCGAAGGAACTCGGCTTTCATCATGAGACGTCATAATTATTCCTTCAAGTGCCAGGGCAGAGTTTGAATGGTTTGAATTATTTTTTCTGGTTAGCGTTTTTTTAGCGAGTTGATTTTCTACGGGATGGGGTCGCTAACCCCATGCCCAACCCTCCTCCTTTACCCGGGCTTGGGACCGGCAGTAGCCCCTGGAAGAGCTACAGGCGGAGTTAAAAATTGAAATATCCCATTTCAAAAAAGCGTTGGTACACTGTTTTTTTTTCTACAACACGTTCATTGAATCTACTATTTAAAATCATATTATCTATGGTTCACTTTTTTTATTAGTTGTTTAAATCTTCTCATTAATGTTTAAAACTACAATTGATCACTCCGTTATTGGCATTTGTGTATTCTGTGCGGATTGCCTCAATATTGCCCCAAGTCTATGTTAAGACTTTTCAAGGGATGTATCAACTTTCAGTCTACTTTAGAGCATAAAAGTAATGATTAAAATTTCTAGAATTTCTGTATAACAAAAGAGACCCATTGTATCATTGAAGAAAGAAAAAGGTAATTTAACAAAGAACATTTTCTTTTTGACGACTTCATTTATTTAAGCTGTACAATCGTATTTGTAGTTTTGTTTACTAAAATAGTAAGGCACAATGGAACTAAATATTTAAAGGACTTGAAGTGGTATCTCGTCATAAATTAGAAATCAGATATTGAGAGGGAGTTATGTCATAATCGGCTGGTGAAAAAGTGGTTAGTTTAAGATAATTGTTCACTTGATAGCTAATAAGAACAGAATAGTTGAAGGTTGTAACAATTGCTAATTAATAGTTGTGAAAATAGTTTGAAAAGAGTAGAAATAATTAAACAAAACTAAAAGACAATAAATTATGGGAAATAGAAAGATAGGTAAAGACCATAGATGGATTACTGACTTAACATACTGTTTTTGTAAGCAAAGGTTAAGCTTAAACTGGTGGATTGTAACAGCCTCTGCTGTACATAAGTTCTTCATTTGCATTCCTATTGAGCTGACTCTTCTGATTGTATTTATGATTTTGAAGGAGGCTTCTGGTGAAGCTGAGTAGCTGGAATCGACTAAATGCTCGAAAATTGGGCTTTTGACTGACTTATGTAATATTCGGAGACGGGTTTCGAAACAGCTCGCTTCGTGCAATCAATATAACCTGCAAATAAAATTAACTATGAATACGATTTTACAGCTTAAATAAATAAAATCGTTGGAATGAAAATTTTCTTCGCTGAATTTCCTTCTTTATTATTGCTGTATATATTGTAGTGCAGTCTCACTTTACAGATTTATGTTACCAGAATGGGGATTTGTGGTGATCGACTCATGAATCCAACTCTCAGACTTATATGAATCAGACAGAAAGTGAATGCCAATGTCTCTTGTATGGGCAACCACAGAAGGGCGCTTATCAAAGCATTGTCTCATAAAATGAAATGAATATATTTAAATGATAAATTAAAATATAATTTTATGGTGTGTAATTCCTTTGGCGCAACGATTATCAATATATTTATTAAAAATATATAATGTGCTAACGACGTATGGCAAGTTGGACTGATGCATATGTGTACCTGGTTCAACGTTGTAGCTGACTGACTGACTGAAAAATATATAATGAATATAACAAATTGAGAAGAAATCCTGTTGTTAAGTTTAAAATTTCGTTTCTTTCAACTTCAGGGCATATAGCCGATCGAAGGCTGAATTTCACACTTGCTGGAATCTGCCTAGTATATTAACTTCCATCCCTTTTTCTACCTAATTACATATGTATTAGTCTGGTAGAAATACATGCGTACTGATTTCATAGGACATACAAAATTCGAAGCAATTTATGGACATCCATCAAAATAGCAACATCCAGAGATTGTCCGCGTTTTGAATATGTGTTTTGATAGAATAAACTTTTTCATGTGTGTAACTAATTTAGGGTATCACTCAAGTTTACCTAGAACTTTTTCTTAGTATTTAATAAAATTCAAATCTCCTGAGATTTTACATACAAAAGAAGCTATTATCAATCTTTTATTACTCTCATAACTGGGTTCCAAATGCCGTTCTTTGTTCAGCTCCTATTCTTACTTTTTGTGAATGTTGGTCTTGCATAGATTTTTATACTTGGCGGTTTCCAACCATACTGTTTTGAATAAGAAACTTTTAGTTTGCCTAATTTAAGTTTGTGAATGACGAATATTCAATTACCAACTCCTTATTTAAGCGTTGAATCCTTTAACGTTCCTACACTGCTCCGAATTCATGTAACATTATTTTTCTGTCAAAAACTATATGAATCTTAAAAACTAACTGTCCATCTTGAAATTAGTTACACCGTTTATTATGATCCTATTGGGAAACAAGCAAATTTCATTGTACACTGTTCAAATCTCCAAGGTTATATAGTGCTCGTTTCGGTTGATTAGAATCACTGTACATTCTGCTACAACGTTTTCTAAATTCTTATTTACACACCCTTGGATAATTTCAATTGTAAAATCTAATATACTGAGAACCCAATGACATAAACATAAATTTATGTTTCTTTCCATGATTTTTCTTTATTTTCCTTTCATTTGTTATTGCAAATGGTTATGCTCACCTTAGGTTTGTTTACCCAACTTTATATGTAAGTGAAATCATTCAGATTGTCTTCTCTAGTCATTCGTAACCCGAACACTTCAATAATGTCTTGGATTATAAAACAAGTAAGTAATACAGATTCAAATACCGCAGAGAGAATAAATTCCCTCAACATTCCCAAAACATATAACACAAAGTATAGGTGTAAAGTTTCCTGCCAACTATTTACATCCACCTCAATAAAAAACCTAGATATTTTCAAGTCCATACAAAATGCATTTGTGACTTAATGTATTACTATTGATCATATGTTTGTTTTGCTGTTTTATTTTTTTTGCCTAATTTTTTGTAGCTCTTATGAATTACATTTCACATATGTAGATGAACATAATAATCCTGTTCATTTAAAAGGAAATGCACATCAACGTGAATATAATATGGATGGTGAAAGAAACTTAACTGGTTATCGTATTCGTTGTATTTATGAAGATTTAATTATTTCCGGTGTATCTTATCGTATAGATTGGAGTAGTTCAGGGTAAATGTTTTTCTGTTATATATTTATAATAATAGTGTTTCGGTACTGTTTTTTTTGTCAAGTAACACGGCTCAAAATTGATCGTAATAACACTGATCCATTCACTCTTAATCATCTTTTAATTCTAGGGTTTAGTATCCTCTCATATCATTCATTTAAATCATGTCGATTGGTCCTTCTATACTATATTTCTTTATTATTATTTTCAGTGCCTTGTTATTTCCTGATTGTTTTCAAACATTGTGAAGCATCTTTACTCGAACACTAACGGTCAAGTGAGAGCTTATTGCGAACTGTCATCTGATTTTACAACCTCAAGTGGTGTCCTTCAAGACTGTCCACTATCCCCATTTTTGTTGAACTTCATTATAGACCTATTGCTGGAAATAACACGCTCGTCGACTGAATTTTCAGGGGGTGATCTCCTATCAGGAGTTCCCTAATCGACTTAGAATACGCAGGTTACATAGTCCTGTTTGATGAAGACGCTGACAAAATGCAGAGTGTTCTGTTAGAACTGTGTAATAATGCCAGGATGTTTGGGATGCGTTTCTCCCCATCTAAATGTAAATTGTTACTCCAGGGTTAGCCTGCGTCAACACCTGAACTAAGGATAGGGAGCGAAGTAGTCGAACGTGTTGACAACTTCACTTATCTTGGAAGTCTGATCAGCCCTAATGGGTTGGTGTCTGACGAAATCTCAGCACGGATTCAAAAAGCTCGTTTGGCTTTTGTTGGCTTACGTCACCTATGGCGAAGGCGAAATATCTGTCTATCAATTAAGAGACGAGTATACTGCACAGCAGTTCGTTCTGTTCTACTTTACGGCTGTGAAACATGGCCATTAAGAATAAAAGATACTCGTAAATTACTAGTATTTGACCACAGATGCCTTAGAAATATTGCTCGCATCTGCTGGGATAACCGGGTAAGTAATAGTGAGGTTAGACACAGGATATTAGGGAATGATGGTAAATCAGTTGATGAGGTGATGAATCTTCATCGATTGAGATGGTTCGGCCACGTGTTACATATGCCTGAACACCGATTACCACGACGCGCTATGCTGACTAGTATTGGGCATGATTGGAAGGAAGTTAAGGGCGGCCAAACCAAAACATGGCATCAGTGCTTGAAGTCACTAACTTCTAGTCTGAGCCATGTTGGTAGATGCAGACTACTTGGTTTGGATCCGCGTGACTATCGTAGCCAATGGTTGGATACTCTAGGTGACATGAATCAGAATCGATCACAATGGCGTAGGAGTATACACTCTTTATTTTCCATTGAACCTTGAGATTAAAACTGCTTCATATCTGTCTCCCTTCTTATACTATATCCTAATATACAACCTTTCTTTTATATACTACCACCACTAAATTAACTATTTCTATGAATCCGGTGTTCTTGTTGTGCTAAGGAGGTATGGCAACTTGGACCGTTGCATATGTGTGCCTGGTCCTACGTTGTAGCTGACTGACTGACTGAATGAATTGTTTTTATTGAAGATTTGGTCTCTGGACATATTAATCCATCTTTTTTTTTTCTGATAATCTGTACACCCTTAATTTTAAACAGTGTTAAAAAATTATGCTAAATGTGCGTCCAATCGTTTAAAGTATAATTACAATCAGGTTGGCTGTATTGTACTCACTCATATGAGTAATTGTGAAATGTATAGACATGGCTTTATGATTGCCTGTGTATATTTGTGCTTTTTACATTAAAACCGGATAATACATTTTTACTTCAGGACATGTTTCATGTATATGGCGAGTAATATATGTAACCTGACTTTAACTTTAGTGCATTCACGCTTATTCATTCGTTATCCATTTTGTCTATCCGTTCCCTTGACTGAAGGACAAGTTTAGTTTAAATAAACGTTATCTAAAATCATACTTCGCTTCGTGACCTAATTATTATTAAACTGGCGTGTAAACATAATCACGAAGGCGTTTAAGTCAACAATACAAAGTTAATCCGGATAAGTTGGTAATAAGAACTTCACAGCTAAAGTACCAAATCTCTCCATCTGTTGACATATTGGCTCATTAAGTTGACATTTAGGAAGTATATCCGACTTACCTGACACGTTGCACTATGTTTGCTAGTGTACGATTTGGTTGGGAAAATGTGAGGGACTACGAAATGTGGCATCAAATCATCAACTCCTAAGCTGAGCTTTGTTGTTAGAGGGGAGGTTCACACGATTAGTTTGTGTTATTTGGCGACAGTAAATCGTGTTCACTTGATTGATGTGATAAATGCCTTGCGTATGAAGCTTTTATTATCTTTTGAGGTATGAATTAACGGTTTTTATGCACTCGGTTTTCAACTAGTAGATCGTAGGTTTAAGCTACACCTAATCTACTTTGGCTAGGGCAGTTGTACCTTATCACTGGTTTTCACACAAACAAATAATGACTCACCTGTACCTAGTTAGAAATGATCACTTTATTTAATTTTGTAGGCCGACTGTTTTGCTCAAATCTGATCTTCATCAAAAATCTCACCATTAAAAATTCAAATACTGACAATGTATCTTAGATAAAGATAGATAAAACTTAACTATATTATTTCCTAGGTAACTGTCTATTAACCTAGTACATCATTTTGTAAACCGGTTTATATATTTTAAAAAATCTTGAATTGTATTAGTAAATTGCAAGTATTATTACAGCGACAAATAATAACATTTGTTGTTCAGAATTCTATTATTTTCCATTTTCATCCCTCTCACTCTCTGGAGCAGGTTAACAGAAAATGGTATAACATATACGTATGCTTACTTACTTGATCCCAATGCGCCTAATCTGTGTACAAATCCTATATCAAGTATAAAATCTGTCGATACTACCAGTAGTAGTGCGATGCTAACTACGTCCTCAACTACTTTCACATTTAAACCAATATCAAAAGTTAATAACTCAACTAATCTGGAGACTGGAATTAAACGATGCAAATCTCAAGGTAATCAACTTTCCGTACTTTGGATTCATCGCTCTGAAAAAAATTATAAATTTCAGTCATAATTCATTTTTAAATTATACATTTATGTATACAGTGATTTAAACAACTTCCAAATGAAATTAGTCTCTGACAAATCAAAGCTGAAAATTGAACCAATCTCCACATAATTTCTCCATATATGATATGATAGCCAACTCATTAGCAACTTACTTCAAAGTTTCCCGAAATTCCTAGTAAACAGTTGAGAATAAAACAATTGTCGCATATGTCGTTGGATGACTTCTGCAGCATATCAAAAATTGTATCATTAGATTCTGACTCAATGATGCTAATGATTAAGTGTTTCATACAAGACCTTAGCGTTCTCGGTTTGCTGCGCAATTGTACCATAAGTGTGGACTGCTGAGTAGTCCAATATTATTATCAAACATTCGTTCAGTTCTCCCTGACTTTCAGTTGTACACCAACTGAGACTAGTCTGTGACCAATTCAACACTCATTTGTTTTCTTGGTTTCCATGGCATGTTATAAGGAACGAAGACTCAGGTGGGAAAGGCTAATTTATCTTATTTACTGGACAATGACACAGTGGTTTACCAAAATGTAAAAATCTTACATGAAATAAATCATTTACACATCTTATTCCAATAGTCCTTTACATCCTTCATTCTTCCAATTCTATTTTCATTCCAATTCCTTTCTGTTCTCTTCAGTTCAGTCTTCTCAAAATTCTTTTGAAAAGCATTCCACTCCTGACTGATGTTACTTACTACTTTCATTTGTCAATATATGTAGCATACACCACAATGTCAGTAAGATTCGAATTTAAAAAGCATCCATATACTATCAGATAAAAAACCGTATGGCTATTGGTGGATATGAAGGATCCACCTAGGGGAGTTGGAAAACCCTGATTCCAAACCAATGGTGCACATGGGCTCCAGTATCCTGAAGGAAAAAATGGCGAATGAACCAATTATTGGTCACCGGCTACCATGGGACTGCATCTCCTCACGATGCTCCACTGCCTTGTGGATCAGACCTTTAAGTCAAAGGCTCGGGGTGTGGTCCCCTAAGAAAACCACCTGCTTCGGTTTGGGCACCTGGGCAGTATCACAGCCCACACACAAATGACATGAAATGACGCACTACACTAACTACACTGCTCTCGTTCCTAATAGAAGAAAGACAATTTACATTATTATTATTATTATTATTATTACCACTATTATTATTATTATTACTGTTATTCACTACGTCGCTTTTTCACTCCCTTTATTCCCGAATTGTGTATCCTTCCTTTCCAACTTATGCAGTAGCTCGCCCATGGTGGAAACTCTGTCCTGTCTAAACGATCTCCAGTCACTGTCTGGTTGAAAGTGAATGCTTCCACCGATTATGAATACTGAGGCAGTCTTTCTGAAACCACGTACGCCGTCCAAGCTGGCTTCCTTCAACGTTCGCACACTAATGCAGATCGGAAAACAGATGGGGCTGGCTATGTCTTTAGAAAGTCTTAATGTTGATGTTTGCTGTCTATCCGAGACCCGTATTCAAGACTCTAGTGAAGTACTACAAATCCGCTCTCCATCTGTCGCCTCGAAATGCTTGTTCCACGTGCGCTTACCCGGGGACCCTGTGGCACTAAGCGCTAGGGCTGAGGCAGCACTAATCGATTGGATCCCCATTAACAGTCGGTTATGTGCTGTTAGATTAGAAAGTTCCATCAAAGTGAGAAGAAATCGGCGTGAGAAACGGTGTCTTTTCGTCATCTCCGCCTATGCCTCGAAAGATTGCAGCCCGGATGCAATCAAGGATGAGTTTTACCACCAGTTAACAGTTCTTCTCCAGAAAGCGCATTCGACAGATATTGTAGTGCTAGCCGGAGACTTGAATGCACAGGTCGGGCGTCTAGGCACAGAAGAGAGTCGTTTAGGTGGCCGATGGGGACTTGTTGGTCGCAGAACAGATAACGGGGACCGTTTGCTGCAACTGTGCACAGACCACAACCTGTTTCTGGCCAGCACTAACTTCCAGCACAGTCATCGCCGGTGTGCCACCTGGCGTCCTCCCTCTGCATCCCAAGCCTGGACTCAGATTGATCACATCGCGATCAGCTACCGCCGGCCTGGTTGTGTACAAGACTGCCGCTCCTTTTGGAGTACCTATCTGGAGTCTGATCATGCCCTTGTCTGCGCCAATCTCACCTTACTTTTCAGTGGCCGAAGGATTGACCACCACCAACGGATCGATGTTAGTAAACTGGCTGCAACTTCTGTTGCAAGTAAGTATCGAGCGGAGCTAGCTTCTAGGCTAGCTACCATCCCACTGAAAAGTATAGATGAGCATTGGTTGCTTCTTCTCGACGCCATGAAAATGGCGAATAAAGCCGCTTGCGGCTTCGCGAAACGTCCCGCTTACAAGCACTGGGTTTCTTCTGGCTCCTTACAACTGATCGAAGCCCGTCGGTCTACTCCGGGTGACCGTGAGTTTGACCACAAACGAATGCTGTTACGTAATGAAATCGGGCAAAGCTTGCGTAAGGACCGGGAAGCCTGGTGGTCGGAGCGTGCTAATGAGATGGAAGAAGCAGCTGCATCTGGTAACTGCCGGAAGCTCTTCCAACTCATCCGAGCCACTGGCATCAAGAAGTCTGGTGTGAGTGAAACAATCTGTGAGGATGACGGGATACCAATCACTAACATCTCTCGACGTTTTGGACGACGGGCGGAATTTTCCGAAGGGCAGTTCAACTGGCCTGCTGCTCCGGCAACATCAACCAGCTTGTCCTGCCTCCCATGGCCGGTGACGACTGATCCACCAAACGAGGCGGAAGTCCGCAAGGAACTCCAACTCTTGAAACGTTACAAATCACCGGGCCCAGATGACTTACCTCCGGCTCTTTTTAAAGATGGTGGTGACCTTCTGACTAAGGAATTGACTGTGTTGTTTGGAAAGGTTTGGAAGCAAGAAAGTGTTCCAACATCATGGAATGAGTCGATAGTCGTCCGTATCTTTAAAAAGGGTTCACGTTGTTCCTGTAACAACTATCGGGGGATAAGTCTACTTCCGATTGCGTCCAAACTATTGGCTTCTATCATTCTTCGTAGGTTGTTTAAAACCCGAGAACGATTGACTCGCGAGGAGCAGGCTGGTTTTCGTTCTGGTCGAGGATGCATTGATCACATCTTCACCCTCCGCCAAATGTTAGAACACCGTCATACTTATCGCAGGCCAACAATCGCAGTGTTTCTTGATATCAGGGCTGCCTTCGATTCTTTGGACAGGACTGTTCTCTGGGATTGTCTATTGAAGAAGGGTGTGCCTGAGAAGTTCATTAACATCTTAAAGGCTCTGTATACGAACACCTCAGGCAGAGTGAGGGCATACAACCACCTTTCTCCATTGTTCCATTCAGGCAGTGGAGTTAGGTAGGGTTGCCCAATCTCACCATTCCGCTTCAACTTTACCATCAACGACATCCTGAAAACAGCTCTGATGGATGGAAGTAATGGCGGTAAGGATCTGCTACCTGGAGAACGACTTGTCGACCTTGATTATGTGGATGATATTGTCTTACTGTGCGATAATGCCCAAGCCATGCAATCCGCAATTAATCAGTTGGCAATCAGTGTCCGCAGGCACGACATGTGCTTTGCACCCTCCAAGTGCAAGGTACTCCTACAAGACTGGCAGGATTCTCATCCTGTACTCACCCTGGATGGTGAGCAGATTGAAGTAGTTGAGAAGTTCGTGTATCTAGGTAGCTACATAAGTGCTGGTGGGGGCGTGAGTGATGAGATTGATGCACGTATAATGAAAGCCAGAGCAGCCTGTGCCAATCTGGGCCATCTTTGGCGCCTTCGTGATGTTAGTCTGGCTGTAAAAGGTCGGATCTACAACGCGTCGGTGAGAGCAGTTTTGCCCTATGCTTGTGAAACCTGGCCTCTCCGAGTTGAGGATGTTAGACGTCTCTCTGTGTTCGATCATCGTTGTCTCCGAAGGATTGCTGACATTCAGTGGCAACATCATGTTAGTAATTCAGAGGTTCGGCATCGTGTGTTCGGGCGCAGAGACGATAATTCAATTAGTGTCACCATCTTGAAACACCGACTTCGGTGGCTTGGACATGTTTTACGAATGTCGTCCCAGAGACTTCCACGTCGTGCATTATTTGCCGACTCTGGGACTGGTTGGAAAAAGCGGAGAGGAGGTCAGTGTATGACATGGTGTCGTGGCATGAAAGAAAGCTGCAAAGAGCTAGCTTCTGTTGGTCCTTCACGACTCACTGGTTGGGATCCGAGAGATGGTGCAACACAGTGGCTAGAGACGTTATCAGATATGGGTCAGAATAGAAGCCAGTGGCGATCCTGCTGCAACCTTCTTTTACTTTATTCATTAACAGTGGTCATAACCTCCTTAACTGAGAGAGTTCTTCTGGTTGTACATTTCAGTTCCCCGCATCATTACTTTTCTCCTTTTTCCTTTTTTAATATATGCATCTTCTTCCTTCTCCTCCCATTCTCATTATTTTGTGTGGCGCATATGTATCCGGTGCCCTTTGTACCAATATATATGTGATTAAATAAATAAATAATGGCTAATGGTGACAAACTTCAAAATGAACTTTTCGACGTATTGGTTCGATAGTCTGACTTGTGAGATCAGTCGTGCAAGGAGTATGGAACTCGATTGTGATTTATTCTAAAATAATTAAGTTTCAAAAGTATAAACCACCGGATAAGAACTTAGTGGCTGAATGATGTGTTCACTCTGAGATCTAAACCTTCTGGCTTTACTTTTGTGTGGTATCACGCATGAGAGTGCACAGTGCTGAACCGAGCCACAAACTAGGATAATGAAGCATTTATCTAATGATCCTTTAGTTATTAGCGCTTGCGTTTTCATGATTGAAACAATCGTTAAGTCAATGAATATAGGCCTCCTTTACTTCCAACTGCAATCATAATGTCATGAATTCTGTGAATAAATTTATCCATTGAAACAGTCTTTTTTGTTCACCTCTTTCCACAATTCTTGACTTTTAACTACGGCACCCAGTTGACAAATATGGTTAACTCCTAGAAATAAACTGAGAGTCTGTATACTGTTGAACCATTTATTCTTGTTTTAATAGGTAATGCTTTGCTCCTTCTATTAGACAGAGCAAGATCCCTTTTTAAGTTATCAGTAGTATCATTGGTCGTTCAACAGATGTTGACTTATTCTGAAAATTATCTTTTGTAGAATCTGTTTCACGCAATGGTCTCACGAGTAAATCAAGTCAAAACTGTACTAATTCGGTAGTATCAGAGTCCACGATGCAACCAAAATCTCCTACTCACTCACCTCCAACTTTGACCCGTCAACTAAGTCTATCAAGCACATCTGAAATGCTTTCATTAAATCGTGCTATGACCAAGTATAGCTCACAAGCATCTGGTGAACCTCCGAATCCACAAACCATTAGTACTAGAAAATGTTCGAATCCAGTCGGTGTCGAACCTCAAAAACACCAAATTTCGTCGTCATCAGTATTAACACCTTTTGTCGTTCCAGGTAATTCTTATGAAATTATTCTTTTGGCTGATGTGCGTGAAAATTTCGGGTGAGTCCACTTTTTTTCTTTTAAACTGTATTTATATGGTTTTCATAGTCAATCTTCACAAATAGGTTTATTAATTTAAATAAATCAGCCGAAGTATTTATGTAACACATGTGTAGTTGGATGTTGAATGGCTAACTTCAAAATTTCACTAACTAAATCTGGGTTGATTGAACATAATGACACTTTAATATAATCGTTCGTTGTTAGGCGGTTGATGGCTATCATCGGTTCAAATCTCGTCACACTGAGGAAAAATATGGTGACAGACAGTTAATAAGATATATATATAACTCGAAAAGAATGAATGTCGTCATGAAGACAACTAACCGATATAACGCTTGTAAGAATGACCAAGAGGCTCTCTTCTACAAAAAGTAAGCACCGATGATGTTATCCAGAATGAAAATGAAAGCTACACAATTATAAACTAGCTAACTTGAAGAACTCAGCAACAATGAAAACATCCACGTGAGTTAAAAAATTTCCCCTATACTAAAAGCATTAAAACTCCACATCTAGAAGATTAAAATTGAATTCATATGCAACAGCGTGACCGATCTTTACCTTTTTATCTCCAACCACAGAGTATGGTTATCACGCACTCTTCAGCCAAAAAGTCGACAATCACCGACGTAGCTCAGTCTGACAGCTAATGATTTCACAAGCAGTTATCATGTTTTGGTTTGTTCCATCCTATTCTATTCACGCACCTAGTCACTGTTAAACACATAATTTAGTGATAAAAGCCTAATTAAAATGAAATGAGGTCAGTTTTGCCCTAAAAATTTCCTTCTACTGTTTCATATCAAAATTGTCTATAGGGAATTCATAAGCCTGTAAATTTCATGACTTCACACGCATGCTAGGCTAAGCATTTGTTGGTTTTAGCTTTCCCATCTCACCATTTTAGTGAATTAAATTCATACATTAGGTTAATCAGTGGTGTTTTCTGATAAAGAGCTGTTCGACATCTGACCATTAAACAGTGCAAATAAAACATTTCAACTAGTCATAAGCACCTTAAAATTGAGCACAAATTTGCATTGCCACACTACATCATCACAGCTAAATGAAGCTATTAATATGAATGCCATCGTAGTAAAATAACAGTATCAGTGGGCTTAGTAAAAATCGGTGTATTCATGCTGAGTAAAATAAATCCTAATCTGCCAATCAATGTTTTCTTTTTCTCTCCCTCCATTCATCGAATCAGATTATCAATTTAGTCTGTGGGAATCATCAAAATAGTCAAACCACGTTTTATATAGTTGTAACAGTTTCATTAATAAGTAGAGATGGATGGTAGCTAGCAATGGAATCCAGGACGCACGTTTCATCCTATTTTGAACTCGCCAACTGGATGTACCTGCATCCCAGGGTCGGTGTTCACTCCAGGACTCGAACCCAGTACCGTTCGCTTCAAACACCATCGCATTATTCACTTAACTTCCGAGTCCAAATAGTCACTAGCTGGACGCAGGTACATCTGGCTGATGAGTCCCGAATAGGACAAAACTCGCGTTCTGGTTTCCACTGCTAACCACCATCCATCTCTGCTTACAATGTTTGTGACTTAAGGCAATATCGAATCAACTCGCTCAAGATACACATATGACAATAAGAGGCTGATCAATTGCAGTCCTAAAAATCAATAGGAGGATTCAAACAACCAATATAAAAATGAATAATTTCATCAATAGTATTTCTAAAAAAGAATTTTATTATTAACTAACTCATTATTTTACATTCTTATGTTTAAATTACAAAATAAAAACCATAGGTCGAACAAAGTAAGACAAATGCTTCCAACTGTATTTCAAAATTACAATATCAAATGTGAATCAAGAGCACTTCCTGTTGGGGATTTTCTTTGGATTGCACGATGGCGAAATGAATCAGGTAATTTGTAGTTTTATGCAATTATATCATTATAATGACTATTACTGTACTGAATATTTAACTAATATTGACTGTTATTTTCTTCTACTATCTGGTATATGTGGTCACGATATCTTCAATTGACTATTCTTAAATCACAATAAAGATTGAAATTGAATAATATAAGCCCAAAAAACTGACAACAAAGATCCAGTACTTAAAACATTAGGATTTATATAGATTAGTTGAAAAGAAAGTGGAATGATTACCGTATACCAATATAAATCTGATCAAATCATTCGATATTCAGAACTCAATCCCAATGTTAAAATATGGTTTGTAAATGCTTTCCAAAACTAGCATAAATGGAGATAGTATTTAGTGAATATTTAATTTCATTATTAAGTGACTTCTCATTTGATCAATAACTTAATTCTTAAGAACATTTTTCTCGAAATTTCCGCGAATCATGTATTTGAATTACGTTTGATAAATCACCTCACAATAACGTCTCTTTGTTTAGTCGATGTTTCCATTAACTGCACACTGGCTTGAATGCTATTCTTCCAGAAATTCTTTGACACTTTTAATTTCTCAGACCTATAATTTCAACGTTTTCCCAATCAATTTCGTATCGATGGTTATCTGCCTGCAGTGAAATGGACAAAATAGATGCCTCCTCTATCTACGCATACACGAACATAAACTAAGGGTAAAATGAGATATGTTACTACTCAGATCACTAAACGTAAACATAATCATGGATACAAAATCGATTGAAAAACGCCAAGATTCTGGATCAAGAACACTCTAGGACTTCTTCCAAATTTCCGAAGCATCGGGTTTTAAAGACAAGTGAAGTTGTCAAATTGTCTAAAGATAGTCTGTCACTGACGATGTCATCAGAACAGAGCGATTTAGCGCTTGTGGACCAATTGAATAGTTCACTCCTGTATGAAATGATTGTAAATTTGTACAAAACAACAATGAAAACTCTGAAATTAGACCATCCATATCAGAGGATACAACCAATATTCTCAACTGAGTAGATCGCTTCTGTAATCATCGACAGTTCCCATCACAGTAAAGGTTTCATACTTTACGAATTTTAATTGGTTTCACAGAATTAATACTTAAAAATTGTAGTCGTTCACTAAAACCTACTTGTCTTACTGTAAATTAAGCCGAATTAGGTAGGGTGAACGTTGGTTTAATTATGAATTATACCATGTAAAATAGCCTCTGATGCCAGGCGGCGTCATGTATATGACTTTAGTGATTAAATTATAAGCAAAATCTGGGTTGCTTCGGAATTCGAACTTAAATACCTAATTGATGCAGATATGAGAAATGAATTACATTAAGAAAATAGAGATCATTACTCAGTTAGGTATTTCGTTGTATTCTAGGTTGTTTAATGGAAGCTGTACTGGATCAGATTGTTGAACGTAAAAGAATGGACGATTTAGCACATAGCATTGTTGATGGGCGATTCAGAGAACAAAAGGTAAACAGTGGATATATTTTTACTGTTATAGAATCTGTAATAAATAAACAGATACACACAACTATCGTTTTCAACTTTTCGTCTCAGTATTCATGAGGTTTTTTTTATTAATATTTGATAGGCTTATGAATCCCCATACTAACATTGCTTTTATCTTTAGTGTTTATGAGATCATCCCCATATGCTATTTGATCAGTACTACTTATTCTTTGTATATATACGGCATTTTAAGTTTATGTCATCTTTACTACAATTCTAATTATCTACAGATTCAGGTACTTGCCTTTGACTTATTTCATTTGAGGCATATTTAAACCAGAATAAATGGAGTGAAGTTCAAATTCAGGTATGAAAGATTTAAAATGGAATACTCCAAGTCATTATTCCACCACTTTACATTGAATATCTATTGTTCATACCTTGATTCTTTTTAGAATAGTTTAATACAGGTTTGTGATGGGGTAATTAAATTCAAAAGAATTGTTCTTATTTATTTTATTGTTAATAACCAACCAGCTGTAGTCTGTTGATTTTGTTGTTGCTCTAGACTATTCAGTTTTCAAAAGAGAAAACAGTGGTTGAACTACTTTACTTTCAACTTGTAAATTACAGCTTCAAACCTCTAATTAAGAAATGAATCAAAGAATTCCAATGTTATCAGAGTCTCAATGTCCGTAACAAACGAATGTTATAAACAGAATTATATATATCTATGTGACGCATAATCTTTCATAAAAACTGACTAACATCACTACTGATTACTAATTAATAAAAAAATCAGTTAGTAATACGTAACATTGAATCTCACGCACATGTGCATTTATCCAAGTTGCCACACTATATCAACACAGTAGGATATAGTGAACGAGAACGCCAGCGGAGAAAACTAAATGTATTTTAATGCAACAATACAGAATATCTCGGTAAAATCTGAGAACCATACAGTAACACTTCATTTGTAAAATATCCATCAATTTTCTCAGACTTTGTTGTACCTTCGTTTCCATACCAACCACTCTCTGTTCTCGTTCTCTTCGATTTTCGCAACCTTCTATCGCCAAGTTCTCCACTTTCAATTGGTGATACATACTACTTATAACAACATATATAAGCGAACAATATTGTTTTCGATTAGATCCTCATCAGGCTTTACTCTAATATACAGTAATATTTATATGCATATACGAAATTATTAAATCAATCAAAGCAGTTTATGAGTCAATGATAACAGTGGAACAGGTTACATAACTAAACACAAGAAGTGAAAAGTACAAATTGATAGTGTAATGACAGGTGTACTAGTTGTGATAAGAATAATAAAGGCCTAAATTAATGTTACATAATGGGAAATAGGTCAACGATTAGAAAAATATAGACACTGAAATAACATTCATAAAATTATAAGATTACGTAATAAGAAGTGTTCAGATAATTGTACCGTGAAGCAAATATTTGAAGAAAAAATAATAAATGAATAATTGGTAGGGGGGGGTGAAGAAAAATAAACGAAGAGTATGGAAAGTAAAATTATTTATTAAGGCCAAGGGAGAGATAAGGATGTTACAAATTTCTTGTGAACACTTGGATTGTTGGTTCGAATTCCTATAGCTTCTGCTATGTGTAAGAGACGAGATCGAATCCCATAAGGAAAACTAGTAGGAATGCGATAAATAACTTTAAATGACTGATTTCTGTCAACTTTAAGACCGCTATCGATCAAGTGTGAAAGAACCGAGCTCCGTATTGACTTGACAATGCCTTTTCCTAACCACGAAGGGAGGTGTTCACTAATTCTTTGGTTTAGTTGTCTTGTAGTGCGCCCAATATAGCTTTCTCCACAGGAGCAGCTGAATTCATAGATACACATAGAAGTGGGATACTACTTTTACCTGTCGATATCAGTAACAGTATTATCATCAGGGATAAATAATATTCGAGAGGGCATAATTTTGAAACTCACGACGTAAGGTGTAATTGCTTGCCAAATAGTTTGTCCTATTTGGAAAATAAAGTTTTTTTGGAATCTACCACTTTTTTAAAGTGAATATTGTATCTTCTTCTTTTTTTAAAAATTCCATTCAATTTCCACGTAGTATCGTTTAAAACGTACAGGTTTATTACAATTGATTTATTTAATTGAAGAATGTCCAATGATGCATAATCAGAAAGTCTCTTATGATGTTTTATTACAAGCAATTTCAAATGCACAAGTAAGTTCATTGTTAATATGTGATAATTGCTTGAAGGGATATAAAGTAAATCTAGAACTTGTGTCTTAACTAATAACAGCAAACAACAATCAACTCCTTGGTGTTCTTCCCATGTTTGTCACTTGTAAAGTTTATATTAATGAAGAATCATTCATTACAGTAATAAGACCTTTTATGATCAAATTATGTATTTAAAGCCCAATGCTAATAACATTTTCTATAATAAATGTAGTTTAGTTTTTATAAATACCGCACATAATTTGTGATTACAAAATGTTCCACTTAATAAATCGTTATTTTCTTTCCCTTTAATATTCAGTCTATTGAAGTGTGTTAGTTGGCTTTCTTTGAAAACAGAGATCTCTTATTAAAATTATATAATATCAATGTAATTCGAAGGTGTGGAATGGGCGATTTCCGTTATCGGATTATTTATTTAAATATATAAAAATCAGTACAGAGGTACACCAAAATATATATACTCCAAACAAATTATTGAATTTGTGTGTGGACTAGGATACTGTCTGGGTGTTCAAACCGAAGCAGTTGGTTTTCTTAACCGGCCTTTCCCAGAGCCTCTGACCCATAGGTCTAATCCAAAAGGCAGTAGAGTGACTTTAGGAGATGCAGTCCCATGGTAGCCGGTGACCAACAACAGGTTCACAAACCATTCTGTCTCTCAGGATTCTGGAGCCCATATGCACCATTTGTTTGCAATTAGGATTTTTTTTAACTCTCCTAGATGGATCCTCAGTATCCTCTAACCCGGTTAAAGCGCTGGACATTTGCTTTTCATCTCAATTTCGTAAACAACACCCTCGCCTCGAGAAGGAGGATACTATTACCTATTTAGGATGATCTCGTGACCTCCTTCCCGACTCAGTTTCTATTCGACGTAACAAGCTGAAAATAAATTGCATTGAAAGGCACATTTACAAAAATAATAATACTTACAAGTTATGTGTGATTATAGGTATTGAGAATCACCGTGACCTAACGGGTAGTGATTTTGGTTAATTAAACCATCCTGTTACTCATTACAACTCACCCACGATTGCATATGACCTATCGTACAACCGTAGCACATCATATAACTTGTGTGGTCATCACCTTTGAATTGATATAAGCTGCGTTTAAGTCTAAGTTGGACCCAGAGATATCTAGATGATAAGTTATCATAGAAGTTGTCATTCGAAATTTTGTAATGTTTCGTAGTAGGTAGGTACCATAGAATCTTGCATTGACGTAATGTCTTGTTTTCTTATTTTCCACCAACATCCAAGCTAGTAGTATACAATTCTTTAAATATGACACTCATTGCTATAAGTACTAGGTGTATGTATGTAGATTCCATTTATTTCATTTAGTTGTATTGATAATCAATTGTACTATCTTTCATAGATGATCGATGGTCTACATATTATGACAACTAAAAGTCATGAAGATACTGTAGATTTACTTGCTGCACTTTCGCAAAGACTTCAGTCACGTGTTTCGGTAAGTTATTTTATAATGTTTAATCGGCTTAGAGAATATATTGGCCATTGCAGTGATCATACGTGTTTAGATTTACTCTTATCAATAATTAGGACAGTTATTGTTGACATTGAGTAATTATCATTACCTACTTCGATCATTGGGTTTCTTGTCTAAACCACTTGGGTTTTCAATTTTGATCATGAATGGGTAAAGACGAAAGATCTATTTACTTCTATACTTTATATACATATTTAAAGAGTGCGTTTAGTGGTTACATATCAACTGAACAACACAAACATATATACCCAGTGGAGGACAAACAAAACAATTATTACATTCATCCTCGTTTTGGTTAATCATTTTTTCGTTTCCCAACTTAAATACATACAATCAATAAAAATCACATTTTATACCAACTTATGGAGGAGAATTTGAATCATTTTTTGAGAAGATAGGAAATGTTATAACTCACTCAAAAAAGTTGATAACTTTTTATCCGCCTTGTATGGATGTTTTGTTGTGTTCATCCAGCTGTCCGCGTGCAATTTCATCAAAATAGATGACAAATTTATAGATAATCTTCATTAGCTAATTGCAGTGTGTTATAACGTATGGATTCGTTAATATATATGAACGTGCAATGATACAGAAAATACGTACGAGCAGTCTTGGGTGCTATTCGGTCCTTCCTATCTGCCTAGTCCAGCCCGTTAAGTCCAGAACACAAATAACAGCCTCAGCAATATGAATCATTATTTACAAGCATACTGGGTTATATATACTAACCAAACAGACCACATATATCAAAAATAGAAAAATAACATTTGTACAGTAATTGGCCAATGTGGCTGTAGCTAGGGGGAAAGTAGTCAATAATAATAGTTCCAAGGTCAAAATAAAGGTTATGGTAAGAGGAACACGGAAACGATTAGGTCACTTATTTAACAACTATCCAATAGGAATAGGCGTATTACATTTGTCCATAAATGGACCTCAGATTTATGATTCATAATTCGCCAGGGGATACAACACAGTGTAATCTTACCATATAGTTTTTCTTATTACGTTTTAAAATCCTTCAGGAATAATTAAAAGTCTTTGTGTTCTTTTTCCCTCTCCGTACCACATTTTTAATTAACATATATCAGTTATGTTCTTTCCATCAACTTAACAATATAACAAATGCATGATATTATCTTTTTGCATTACACCACCCCTTATGAAGTTGACCAGTTTTATTCTCTATAGCTGTAACTAAAGCATTCAAGTTCTGGTTCCCACTGTGTATCAGCTGGCCAATTTTACCTTCATTGTGTTCATAAAATATGGTTACTACACTTTAGATTTGGGACTCAAAGCTTGAGTGTCCTGTGTTTAATAACATGCAAAATTAGACTTATGAAGCTTAAACAGTTATTTAATACATTATGATATTCATCAATTTGTTTACTGTAAGCAGTCTACAATGACTATCGATAAATATTCTTTGTTATTAACTTTACAGAGTGATTTGTACGTTAATTATCAAAAATCTAATGATATACCTTTCAAGTTAAGCACTGTAAATGCATTGGGTTGGTGTGAGTTTGTTAAACTTGCAAATAAATCACCGGATCCAAGTATACGTGATATTTTTGCGAAACATTTAATGCAGATTCCTGGATGTTCTGGTCCAAAAATCACTTCAATTATGGAAAAATATCCTACTCCTTGCATGTAAGTTGTTTTTGATCTGGGAATTGCTTCGCCATTCAATGGTCACCATAGTTTCATGTTTTTTGTGCATTACCTGTCTGTTTCTACTAATTCTTTTGGTAAGTAAACTATTTATTTCTTGTATTTCAGTTTAATGGATGCCTATGATAAACAGTCGACAATGTCTGGCAAGGGTAATATGTTGGCAGAGTTGAAACCAGCAGATAGTAATCGGTATGTGAAACGTTTTTCAACTACTAACATCAATGTCTTTTGTTGAAAGACTAGGGGCAATCAAACTAAGATGTGGCATCAATCCATAATGTCGTTGATTGTCATGCTGACCCGTTTAGGTAGATATAAATTACTTAGTTGGATTTCGCAAGATTATCGTGACCAATGATCAGAAATGTTGGATGAAATGGTTCTGAATCGTTAGCAATAGCGTACATGCATCTAGTATTTGTCTTATAAATACGTATACTTTTTATTCCACGAATTCATTCTCGCTTATCGAATCATATTTTCAATCCTCAACCTTTGCTACTACTGTCATTGATTCCTCTTATTATCTCTCCTGATAATTTCATCCAGATGTACTGATATGGTGTGACAACTCGGACCAACTCATATATGTTTTAAGTTCTACGTTGCATATAACTAACAAATAATTCAGTGAAGTAACTTCTCTGACCATGACGAGAATTCGAGCTCCAACGGAAACATTCATACCTTAAAATTACAGATACTAACCAACTAGTGTGTTATCTAAATCAACAGTTTTCTGCTTATTATCGTCAACTGATTAACACTAGCAAAGTCATCATGTAGCTTGTGCGATTCAGTGTACTGGACTGCAGCTTGGATTCAGATAATCTGCTGTAATTAGCAATAACGAAATTTAGTCAGTATAGTAATCCGATAAAAATATACATTTGTAGTAAGATGCAGAACAAATGTTTTAATGTAAACCTTTTTTATTCATCTTATCACATTATACATTTGGCACATTAAGATATTTTCCAACTGAACCTTCAATGGAGAGACTTCAGTACATTTATACTTACTTACATCTAATAAATTAGCGTACGTTAAGGACACAAGATCATGTGTATTATGATTTGTGGTATCGGATTCCGATACACAAGCTTCTTATATGTGTGCCCAACCATCTATTCGAGTGAGGGAGTCAATCGATTAATTTAGTCAGTAACTTGATTATCATTTGACTTCAAACCACACTCCAAGTGTCTAAACTTGAACTGGGTGGAGTGGGTTTCGAACCTGGGACTAGCTAAAAGTCCAATGTCTTGACCACTAACTCACTGAGTAATAATGTTCCTGTATAGCTGTCGAATTCTTATTCGGTATAAAACAGCGTATAACACAACATAATCCTCATGGTTATTGAAGTTTCAGATTCAGAAATGTTTATATGATTCTTATTTGACCATAAAAAAGTAATCATTTTGATTCAAATGATTAAGGAATTTTTTAATTTACTCAATCTTTCTTAGATGTCTTGGAACAGCGCTTAGTCAGAGTATCGCTTTCGCGTTTAACACATTGTGATCTATATTTTGTACTGTTTTCCCTGTAAATACACATTTATCTACAAGTTGCATTCTGAATTAGTTTAACTCCCATACATAGGATGAACTTGGTTATTTGGGAAATTTTTATAAGACAGTAAATTACACATGGTAAACAAAAATTATTTTCAATTACACTCTGAGTTCAAGCAGATAAACTCGGATACCAATACATATAAATCCCAAGTTTAATTCCACAGTTTGTTCTTAACAATCATGATTTTAAGTCAGCACAACTGAGGGTATAAAAATGGCGGCCCAAATAGGATGTGATTTATTTAAATGAGGTAATAGCCAATACCAAAGTTACTACACTATATGAAGTTATCTTATGCATCTGTTACCCATTCTTTTTTGCTCAATTAAGCATCGAAAATACTTACGGCAAACAGTCGACACTGGAGACTCAAAATATAACTTTCAGCGAATAAAGTGCTCGACGTTTGTAGCGTAACGTTTTGGCTTTAAGTCTCCATGTGGAGATCAATACTAAGATGCAGGTATATCCATCTGACAGGTCCTAAGTAAGACGAAATGCACATCCTGGATTATGCTGTTAGCCAGTATTTAAATTTACCAAAACAGAATGAAAGTCTACATGTTTTTTTCCATACAAATCATTTTTGAATAAAAAAATAAAAATTACAAACATGAACAGATTAGTACAAAATACCCTTTCCCTGTTACATTAGCTGAAATTACTGTCGTCATTGGTTTTTCTTTTCAGTCTTATTTACCTTTTCTAGTGATTCTGTCAGCATAGTTGGTAAACAATAAAAGTTTGTTGATGACCATATAAATATTAGAAAAGAACAGAATAATCCAATTGCTGTGTAGACTGAAGTAAGCATTAATGGTAGATAAGGTAAACGTTGTCCCAAATAAGTTAACGGTAGAATTATTTTTGTGAATATAAATAACAATATAAGACCCCATAAATGTAGACAACCAATTTTTTGTATGATATGCTGTGATCTTGATTGATCAGATATACTTTTTTCGCGATTATTTTTATTGTTTATGGGAAGAATACGAAATAAGATAAGCCAATGAATGCATGTATGTGCTAGATAGATGGATATGACAGCTGGAAATTCTATGTAAAAAAAAAGATGAAACAGAGACACGAACACGAAATATATCCTAATGATTTATGTATTTTTATTGAATGATATGATATGGGGAAAAATTGAAAATGGAATTCGAATATTGAGACTATATTATTACTAAATCCTTACAATATCTACACTCATGATGGATATTAGCAGCTAATTCTTACTAGATAAAAGTAGTCGCTGGGTTAGCTGAAGCTTTTAAAGTCAAACTACCACATGTTTGCACATCTGGTTTAGTAAAGAATGTGAATTTCTCAAAAGCTTGCGTCGATTTCAACGACTAATTAGTCGAAAATAAATTATATCGAGATTAAACAGACCAGTCGAGTGAATTATCCATATAAATAGGGTACTACCTAGCACCCAAACATTTCATCAAACAAAGAATTTAGGAAGAAAAGGATCTATTCATGGTAAAGCAAAGTCTCGTCACGTTTAAGGATGAACCTCAAAGAATAAGCACGTACCAGTGACTAGAATTACTTCGATATGACTCAATAACAAATAAGGTGGTTGAACATTGACTCGAGGTGTAGGCTGCTCAGAAAATTATAGCTCCTAATGTTGTGTAATATAAATGAGTTCAGTGGCCAGATGAGCGATCTTCAATACACAGAAATATTATTAATTATTAGATGATAAATCAGATATCCCCATGATTCTTTTCAATTGTAAAAACATCAATTTTGTTAGTTTACAACTCATACTTTCTGATAAACTAAGCATAAACATACTTTGAGGGAAATCAGTTCGTTTTTTTGGAGTTCTTTTCTCTGAGTTTAATGGTTTAATTGTGAATCTTTCATTTTTCTTTTCAACAACATTCCTGGTACAAACGCCACAGAATAACAATGAACGCTTCACGATTTAACCATCAAATTCAGAGAACACAATCATCCACCCCGAACTACAAATCTTTTCTACCACCTTAAAACCAATTCGTTTTTAATGACAGTTTTTGTAGTCCTACTAAACAGCATTATTGTAGTTTAATTACTGACCGATCAGTGTATGCCTAATCTTTAAATGGTTACGCCTAACTATTGGCATCTGTATAAACAAGCCTGATATGTCGAATGATAACTACATTCACAGCAAAATCAGTTAACTTACCAGCATTCGTAGGGATCAGTGGTATAAGGCTGTAGTATCCCAAAGTGCTCACATAAAAAGTAAGAAACCGATATTCTCCAGAAGTCAGTGTAAAAAAGCTGTAAACAAAAAATGTATTTAGGATTTTACGTTTACGCAAATATATAATTTAACGAGATTCTATTGACGATTTACAAAAATAAGCATATTTTGATGCAGTAGCACGATATAAACGGACAAAAAGCGAAATCTAGAATGACACAAGAGTGAGTGCACTTCTTCCAAAAAACAGTGCGAGTTTGATATATTATCTTTCACATAATTCTGAGCTGAACCATGATAACGGTATTGACGATTGTCACAGCTGCATCAACAAATCGGACTAACACGCAGGATACTGAGGGATTAGCGGTGTAAACTTACGAGTGGCAAGCGAGTCAGTTACACACATGCCACAACCTTGTCGATAGCATTACTCGGAGTAAATTTGTATTGCATTGAAGACATCAGAAATCAGACTACTTAACTACTTTGTTGCTTGAATGCTACTTTGTGTTTGCCGCTTGCAAAATGTAGACTAAATACTCAAATTCGACTCAAATAGTTCAAGTGACTCTATTTAATCTATTCAGATTATCTAGTTTTTATACTAAGTTAGAAGATCAAACTTAACGAAAACAAAGGGTAGTTTAGTTTATCCTTTTCAAGGATAAACGTGATAATGATAAGTTTGAAATTTATAGTAAATGAAACACAAGAAATATTTACTTTAAGGGTAATAAAAACATTAGAACTGCTTTTTCATGAACATGCCAACCAAACATAAAACAGGACCAAGCTGTTATAATTACAGACTTCAAAAAGACGCGAGAAATTACAGCAGTTGTAAAGTTGAAGAAACGACTTTTTCTAATTGATACACATAAAGTGGGCTGTAAAATAAGGAAAACAAAATGTGGGTTATATAGCATTATTATTATTATGGACAGTGCGTAATGTCTACCTTCTTGTTACAACCAACTAACAGTAGGACACAAGAATGCGCCTGTTTTTTGTCCCAATTAATCTTAAGAATGATCATTCATCTTTACAGATATGTACAACTAAAACTGTGAGAGCATCGGTAAACGCACAGTACAGAACCCACATGATTAAGTAGAGCTCATGTACTAGGCTTGTAATTTTGCGACTTACAACTATTTCACTATTACAAACCGTGATTAAATCCCTAAGACACCACAACACTTACACGAAGATATTAGGATATCTAGCTACGTAGACAAAATACAATGATCTAAAGAACTCCATTAACAAGCTTGTCTTTTATATTGACACTAATAACTGTATGGCACAAATTTAAAAGTCACTCAAATGGTGATATTGGAAAGCAAAAGTTTACTTTCTTATTTGACATTGCTTATTTTCCATACTTTTGCTCGACATGAGTGAATCATGCGGCATAATCAACCACAAGTACGGAAGACCTGACACCAACCCTGTCGGATTTTAATTTGCAAACCAAGGTTATCCTAATCAGTCTAATCGCATAAATATATATTTAAGGAAAATCGATAACAGGCAGTCATACCAGCATAAACAGTAAGCTCAGAAGAGCTGTATGTGAAGGCTTTATAGTAGGTAAAATAACATGTTCCACATTTTCCACTAAACCACCAGTCATGGTTGCAGTAGAGGGGATTTTCTCAGGCCACATTTGAAGAAAATGATCATCTATAAAAAAGAAAAATTATAAATCGATTGATCCATTTCATAGATGTGAATTGTAAGTCTTAAAATCTATACCTGTAAACATTCAAATATCATTTACCAAGAAAACAGTAATCGCGGTATCAATATGAAACGAAGAAAGTTACATTCAAATAAAATCTATTTATAAAATGTTTCGATAACACTCAAGCTGTTTATTACCAAACAAACTTTATAACATGCACGAAGAAAAAGTAATTGCATTTTAAAGAATTGTCATCATTATTCTCGTAGGATCTGGAACATATGCATCGGTTCGAGTTTCCGTATCATATAAGCATAGAGAGATAAAATTATCTCAAAACAAAGCTCATAGTAATAGAAGCAGTAACAATATCAGTAGTAGTAAAAAAGGTTAGGTGTAGAAAAAGGGTATAGGGAGACTTCGAGACTGGGGTTCCAGAAGCAGACAAGTAAAAAGTCAACTGCAAGTAACGACTAACATGTGTATGTGTGATAATTTAACTAGTGAAGTTATGACGAGATAGATATGCATTATTAACTTCAGTTATGCAATACCGTTTCACCTTCCACAAGTGTCAATTTAAATCAACCTTATAGGACTGAGGGCTTTTGTTCTCTACATCTACTTATTCACATTCTGAATGAAGCTGGGAGTTTTCTATATAGAAGTGAGATTTTATATTTCAGTACTTAAATTTCAGATATACGTTTAAAAGTTTGTAACACAGCATTCTTAATCTAATTACACACTGAGATTTGAATGATACCCAGAAAGATAATTTTGACACAGATTTTACCATATTGATACGAACAAATGTATAAAACCGGTAGAAGTTTAGAAATCAAATGGAGCGGGATATTTATCAAAAAGGATATAATAAAAACTGGAAATTTCTGAATTAACAATTAATTTAATGAATTAGCAATATTACGTAATCTTACCAAGAACATTTAATACTTTGTCAACCAAATTGTATAAGGACCAGAAATTCGGAGCCCAGTACGCGTGACACAAACCCCGATTAAATGGGAAAAGACGACTGAAAACTTGTTTTAACTGATTCTATAATATTTTTTACATTATCGTTAGATCATTTAGAACTGCAAACCATGTAAATGAAATATCCAAATGATGAA